GGCATTCGGTTGGTACGACTAGCCCTATAATTCATCAAAACAGTCAACACCTTACATGTTATTCTGTTCACAACTTTTGTTCCATGTAATAGGCAAAGCAGCAGTGGCATTTTTTTTAAACAAGCTAAAATTTAGAGCCCAGCAATAAATATGCAAATACGACAAATGCTGGCAAGTGGAAGATTGATTGTCCCTCTCTGTAATACAATCATGCATGCATATCAGTTAATTTATCTTCTACTCGGTAATGAGAATCCATAATTATTGATGGGGTAAGAGAGAGGGTTCCACCCCCATACCATTCACCCTCTTATTAGTCTCTATTTAATTCTTGCTAATTTTATTTTTATAATGCTTTTATCATTCTGTAAGTCTCCCAGAGTCGCTTCAACACTGAAATGGGTGTCACATCAAATACAAAAATTAAAAAAAAAAGTTCTTCAGAAATTCTTGGCCAACTTTTTCTCCAAACTTTAGCTTGAATGATTGTATTTCTATAGGAATTATATTCAATAGTTTGTAAGAATAATACAAATTCTTGAGATATAGATAATAGTCTATCAACATATATTACACATGTAGACATAAAAATAAGATGCGATTGGAGACATTCACAGTGATAGAGCTCAATTTTTTAAACAATGGTTTGTTGAACATGTATGCTGTCCCATTCACACACACACACCAGTGGTTTAGTGCGTTTATTAATATCCCCCTCCCCACGACTCCCTACACCAAAAACCCAGAACTGTCCCAATTAAGTCCAGCCATAAGGAGACCAATGCTAGTCCATCGAGCAATGGCCAGTGAGTCTACAAGGCACTTGAAGGTTTCCCAATCAAAATAAACCCACCAGGCAAATTAAATCCACAGTACAAGAGGGTTCATGAGGCAAGAAAAGTCCAGAGTTTACAAGGCACAATCCAAAACAAGGCACTGTGTCAGTTCAAAGCAAGGAAGAATCACAATGACCAGAAAACACACAGCTAGGAAACGAGCACATTCCCAGCATCGCTTCCATCTGTCTGCTGTGCTAAATAGCCAGCTTCCAGTGCAGCCCATCAAGAAGGGTGAGGCTTTCTCCTTGTGAGTAATCTGGCTGACCTTCTCTGTTCGTGCCTTTTCTCTTCTCTACTTGTACTTGGATCAAGTGCAGAAGGCAGTTCCTCTTCCTCATCACCGACTGGCTGCAGCTCCATGCTTTCTTCACCTGAAGCCTCAGACTGTCCTGCTGCAGCTGTACTTGAGCCAAATCCCTGTCAGACAGCTGTTTGGAGCCATTAACCAATTCCCCTTCAGACATGCCTGGAACTAGTTCATCTTCCTCCAAGTTGATATGTGATCACAATTTGTGAATTTTTTTGCTAGAAACCGGCATTTATTTCTGATTCCCAGCAAAAACCACCCATTAGCTTAAATGGGTTTGCTTAATGACTTCTCTGTCTGTTTAATGCTTGCTTCAAGATTGGCTGACTTCCTGCATTGTGCTAAGACATAGTTTGCATGGAGTACAAATAAACCAGGGGTAATAAACCACAATCCCACTTACTAACCCAGAAGTGGGCAACAACGGCAAATTTACGACCTGTGAACTTCAACTTCAATTTCTGAGCATGGCTGGCTAAGGAATTCTGGGAGTTGAAGTCCACAAGTTGTAAAGTTGCCATAGTTAACAACCCCTGTGCTAACCCCAACCAGGCAAATGACAGGCAGAGTTTGAATCTGCCAAACGGTTAAGTCTCATTCCTAAAGGCAAATATTAGCACATTTATCCATGTCAATGACACACCCAGAGACCCCACTCCCATGAATCCATGGAAGGAAAAAAGGAAGTTGCATTTCTCTAAAACTACCATTCCATTCCCAGAAACGAAGACTGTGTGGCCTTCAGAGCTTTCTTCCTTCTTGAAGCATAGAAGAGCTCTGTACCATTTGACGACATGAAGTTGCATCACTAGCCCCTTCCTCTGTTGATACTGTATTGTCATTGGTCTAATGACAATACAGCTGCTGACTCAGGAATTCTGGGAGTTGAAATCCATGAGTCATAAAAGAGCCGAGGTTGCCTACCCCTGGTCTAATCATTATGACCTGTGTTAACATCTGCCAAGTTGCTAGCAAACTTGGTTATAATGATTATGGGATGTTGTGGGTGTTTTTGCCTGCTATTTTATGTTATTTACAATTTTGGTTGTGTTTTTATACCATTTTTACTCTGTTTTTAGTTGTTAGTCATCCAACATCCAAGTACATGAGATGGGTGGCTTTATTTATTAAATAAATAAACAAATGATTGGTGAATATACACAGCCCCAAGGATGTTATATCTTCCTTCAAAATGGGAGGGCCCTACAGGTAGTCCTCGGCTTACAACCATTGAGTGACAGTTCGAAGTTACAACAGGACTGAAAAAAAGTGACATGACAATTATTCACACTTACGACCTTTGCAGCATCCCCATGGTCATGTGATCACCTTTTGTGACCTTCTGACAAGAAAAGTCAATGGAGAAGCCAGATTCAGTTAACAACCTTGTTATTAACTTAACAACCATAATGATTCACTTAACAACTATGGCAAGAAAGGTTGTAAAACGCGGCGAAACTCACTTAACAACTGTCTTGCTTAGCAACAGAAATTTTGGGCTCATAAATCAAGGACTACCTATGTTTGACTTCTGCATTACTGAAAGGGAGAAAGACTGATGGGCAGGCAGAATAATGAAGTGGAGAAGGCAAGGGAGTTTCCTTTGGGAAGATTGACTTGTATTTCACACAATCAATATTTCCGTGATCTGAGGAGAAAAGGCTTCTGGGAGACGTGTTTTTTGTCCAGCAGCCTTGGCAGAAATTGGTCATCTTGATCCAGCTTCAGCCTGCCTTGGCAACGGGCAGGCAGTGCGATAGAAGCTCCATGTGAAGTACACGTACTCCAGGAATACACAGGAAATAGACCACCCCAGAGCCAGGAAAGGTAGGGGAATTTAGATGTGAATGTCCTTGAAAGGATGAGAAGATTTTCTTCTCTTTCAACATTGTGTTTCGGTTAATAAAAGCCACATTAGGAAAGCATAGTTGGTGATCTGATGTTCATGTGAATGCATTATTCTGTGCATGCATCAAAGGCAGGCAGTGTTTTGGCACCCTTTTTAAAATCACTTTTTTATGTGAAAGATGTACATGGAGACAAGGTAGAAATATTGCCATGGCAACAGGCCAGAATGCTTGGCTTAGATTTTCATGCTTTTTTTCCCCCAGAAGTTGGAAGTAATATTTTTAATATTTGTAGGACTGTGCAGCTGTTTACCTATTTGCTTTTATTTCCTATTATAATTTGGGCAATTGAGTATAGGAGTTCGTCGTTAGGTTTTAGCAGTGTGATCTTGGAGGACACAAATTGTAACGTAAGTGCCATTTGTAGACTCCACATCTCCCAACATATATGAGCAATGAGATGCATCTCCCCATCCCTTTCCTTTGGTTAGTGTTAATTTGGAATTTATGAAATGGTTGGATAAATAAACTGAAAAGGTAAGATTTTGAAACCCAGTATCATTTTAAAAATTGCGAGAGAACGGGGGTGTTTGCCAGGGTAATGGATCTTAGACGTCATGAAAGCTATTTAACTTTTTTTCTGAATTTGTTAAGAGGTTTAATCACTACTACTGTTAGGGCTCCCTCTTTCTCCTCCAGGTCCCACCTCTTCTGAAATAGTCCAGTACAAGCAAATCAAGTTATTTTGTACAGGCAATCCTTGACTTACGACCATAATTGAACCCGAAATTTCCATTGCTAAGTAAGACAGTTAAGTGAGTTTTGCCCCATTTTATGATCTTTTTGTCACAGTTGTAAAGCGAATCACAGTAGTTATTAAGTGAATCGTATGATCATTAAGCAAATCTGGCTTTCCCCATTGACTTTGCTTGTCAGAAGCTGGCTGGGAAGGCTACAAATGGTGATCACATGATCCCCGGGACTCTGCAACTGTCATAAATACGAGGGCAGTTCGGAAACAAACCTCCATTTGGTTATCAATGACAGACACTCGCAAATGCAGAACTTTTATTATGCACATTAAAAAACTACAGCATTACATTATTTTTTGACATAATCGCCATTCAAATTGAGGCACTTGTCATAACGTCTTACAAGGTTTGAAATTCCTTAGTAGTAGTTGCTTGGCACCAAATCTGGGCTATGGGAGGTGATCCAAAACATCCCAATGGAACTGCTTCAAAGGTTCTTGGGTGTGTCTCGCGGTGTGCAGGAGAGCATTATCGTGAACCAACTCCACACTGGAAGTCAGCATGCCTCTGTGCTTGTTATAGATGGCTCGTCTTAAGTTTTTGTAACATTTCACAGTAGACTTCTGAATTGATGGTCAAACCACGCTCCATGAACTTCACTAGCACTACTCCTTTGGCACCTTGACATTTGGCAGGATTTTTTATGGCACCACTTCCGGTGTGGTGTTGGTTCATGATAATGCTCGCCTGTATACTGCTAGACATACTCAAGAACTTTTGAAGCAGTTTCATTGGGATGTTTTTCATCATCCCCCATAGCCCAGATTTGACGCTGAGCGACTACTACTAAGGAATTTCAAACCTTGTAAGACGTTATGACAGGTACCTCAATTTGAATGGCAATTATGTCAAAAAGTAATGTAATGTTGTAGTTTTTCTAATGTGCACAATAAAAGATCTGTATCTGCGAGTGTCTGTCATTGATAACCAAATGGAAGTTTACTTCCAAATTGTCTTCGTACATGCTAGTTGCCAAGCACCCAAATTTTAATCATGTGACTATGAGGATGTTGCAACAGTCATAAGTGTGAAAACCAGTCATAAGTCACTTTCTCAGTGCTGTTTTAATTTTAAATGGTCACTAAAGAAATGGTTGTAAGTCAAGGACTAACTGTATTTGAGAACAGGTAGATAGTTAGAGCTTCTCTCTCTCTCTCTCTCTCTCTCACCATCTTTCTCTTGATTGTAGGTGGAATGGAACAGTCATGAATGGTGATGCTCTTTGTCAAGAACCTCCCTCCCAGCTTCCTGACTGGCGGGAATTCTGCGAGCTCCATGCCCAGGCTGCTGCAGTGGACTTTGCTCAGAAATTCTGCCAGTTCCTGAAAGAAAATCCCCACTACGACACCCCTGGAGCCGAGACTTCCTTCTCTCATCATTTTGCAGCAAATTTCTTGGACATCTTCAGCCTGGAGGTCAACAGGGTGTTTGTGTCCAATTCCCCTACGAAATATAATATTGTCCCATTTGTGGGCCTTCAGAACTGCCACATGCCTTATGGACGGGATCTCTTGCCAAGGAAAGAGCAGACTTCCGTGGAGTCTCTAGATAGCATGGACCACACGCTCACCTCCAGCAGGTACTTAAGCCAAACCCAACAGGCTCAGGCAAGAAAAGTCTCCTCCTATGGCCAGTCCCGAAGCTCAGAAGATGTCTCTGTGCACAGTTCTTCTAAAACAAAATTCAAGAAAGGTTTTTCTCTGAGGAACATGAGCTTGTGCGTGGTGGATGGCATGAAGGAGATGTGGCATCGGCGGTCTTCTCCAGAGCCAGGCGCGGAAGCCATGCAAAGCAAACAGTCTGAGCGGGAACATTGTCCTCCGGGTAGCAAAGAACACAGCGAATCCAGAGAGAAATGGACCCACAAACTCTGGCTTTCAAAGGGGCAATCTTCTAAAGTGGATTTAGTGGACATTCAGAGAGAGGGAACCCTTCGCTACATGGTTGCTGATGACACAAACTGTGTGGGTAGCTCTCAGTGGCAAAAATGCCGTTTGCTGCTAAGGAAAGCAGTAAAGATAGAGGGGGAAAGGTTCCTTCTAGAGTTCTACGTTCCTCCTAAGGTAACCAGACTTCATTACTGAAGTTTTTGCATGCAGTTTTCCCTAGTAATTCATTTGTTTGCTGGTAGCCATAGAGAAGCCTGCAGATTAAAAGGCACAGAAACAGTGGATATTCAAACTCAGCCTCCATTTACAAGTGAAATTCAGGTGTTCCTTTTATCTGGTGTTTGCAGGAATATAAATCACTGTTTCAGCATTTGTAGGACTTGTTCATACCTAAATCAAGAACGATGGCAAAGAATCTCACATTATGGTTATACAGATGTGACATGTACTGTTACATGACATTTATGACCTTAGAGACACTGGCTCGACAACTGGGGGACATGTTCCGAATAATTTTATCACTTTGGATAACTTTTCAAAGCACCCCAACATCTAATATAGGTAGTCCTTGACTTACAACCACAACCGAGCCCAAATTTTCCATTGCTAAGCAAGACAGTTAAGTGAGTTTTACCCCATTTTATCACCTTTCCTTTACAGTGAATCACTGCAGCTGTTAACTTAGTAATGTGAAACTTTTACAACTTTAACATGACACCAGGACACTGCAACCATCATAAATATTATTACCCAGTTGCTAAATGTCTGAATTATGATCACATGACCATGGGGATGTTGCAACAGTCGTAAATGTGAAAACCAATCATAAGTCATTCTTTTCATAGCTGTTTTAACTTCAAGCTGTCATTAAACCGAAGGTTGTAAGTTGAGAACTACCTGTATTATATAGCTAAGTTAAGTATAAATTACAAAATAAGAGTTGTAATATAATATTAACATGTGGGCAACCTTTTCTACTTGTTTTTCTTCCATCCACACTTAAAAAAATAGATTGTGGGGAAATGTTTTGCTATTTCCGTATTTAAAATTAAGTAGGTCCTGATATATGTGGGTCAGATGATATGGTAGCTACTCCCATTTCAGTAACTCTATATCTTATATCTCCATCTGAGTACTCGTAATTGAGTTGTTCATTATTTCAGCACCTGTAAGGATTCTTGGATGACTTGACTATTCTGGGATAGATAATGCCAGACTTTGCTTTTTGGAGCCCCATATAGTCTTGGCAACTTCCAGTTTGTTGTCCGTGAAATTAGCAAACGCTGTGTCAGATGCT